TGAAAATAGCCTGCAACTAGACTGTTACAGAAAATTAATTGTTTCCTCTGCTTTACTACTAATTTTTTTTTTTTTAAATTTTCATCATCATTATTATTTTAATTTTATGCATTTTAACGCTCGTTATCGAAGAATGCAAGTAAATTATAACTTTCGTGACACCGAGCAATGCGCCTAAGAGATGCAATAAATTCCATATATAATTCGGATCATTGTAAGATTCTAAATGCGGATTTAAACAAATTCGACTGCCCAACATTGAGATGAAAAGCAAAGACTTAACTTAGCCTGTATGTGCATATTCCGAGTTAAAAGCCCCCGATTAAATTTAAAAACGGGCAATATTTGCAAAGATCATCTAAATGTTGGGCAAAAAGTGGACGTAATTCGAGTTCATAAGAGACAAGAAACTGCAACTTGCGTCTCATCGGGGATTTTGATTTCTTAATCTTAGCCCAAAAGAGAGCGTAAAAGCTTTCTTGTCTTAGAAACAATTGATCAAATCTCTCGCAGTTACAACGTTCGAGGTTCAAGGTGATGAGTATATGAGGTTCAAGTTCAAGGTGCATTCTTTTTTGTCCTTTTTATTGCAGCTTATACTAATTGAAAATTTTTCGATATACGTTTTAATTGTTTCAATTATTTCCACACATCATTTCTTCGATTTACTTGATGGGCAATAAAAGCTTTTTTTAAAACATTGAATATAAATAATCAGCATTTTACCATTTGGATCAATCTATCTCTAACTCGTACTGAATGTATTGAATGGTATTTTCTTTTATAAAACAGTCGTTCATTGCGCATGCATGTGTACATTACGTTCAACATTACATTATAGCTCTTTACTGCAGATTCACATTTCACTTGGCGGTAGCCTATTGCAACATTATCGATAAAGTTACATAGCTGCACTGCACAGTCCATCATCATTCGCTTTTATATTTAATTTTTGTCTTTCGATAAATTTGTGCTCGCCAAAGCTTAGGTAGTAAATGTGATTTGTTTTCATTTCACCAATATATATCAATCAATTCACATTTACTCAGATTTACAAATTTTATGTTCGCCAGATGTTTCAACAATTTTCAGTGCATATTTTCAGTAGGAATATGAAGTAATTTTTCGTAATTAAAAAACTTATACATCACATGAATAATTTCTTCTATTTACTTAATATGGTATACATTTTCATATATATATTTTATACATAACTATAGGTTTAACATATTCTGCGCAAATTTACCCATCTCCCATGAATTAAGTAAGTTAAGTACAAGACTCGTTACCTAGCCTAGAGCTGGTGGTTCGGCATATTTTCCAAGCTTATGTTTAGTAAACTTCTTAATCGATGATATAACATCGTAATCAAAATACTTACAAGCGAATGCATACACATTTGCAAAAATTAATATGTCGTCCGTAGTCTTAATTTACACAATTTGAGTTGCCTTTCATTCGCCCAACTGTTACATTCCAGGCTATCATGTTGTGAGGCCAAGAATTCCCAATTCTTGTACAAGAGTGCCTTACCGCATAAAGTCTATGTTGGCTGCCGTCATTTTCCGTACGTTACCAGCGCAATTCTGTCAAAAGATAATATCCTAATACTTAACTTGTACATATCAAGCAGTTCGTCTCTGCGGCTTTGCGTATGTTGTACGAATGTTTTAGATAGATCGCGTATAGGAAAGTGTCACTTGGTCATGAAGATCAAATATTTTGCATAGGGCATTTTTTTCAAGGTATCCGCATATATTGTATATACTGAAAAACATCTCTTATCTGCTTTTCCGCACGTTTCCTTGTAGACATTTCACATGTTCCAGCTGGAGGAAAAAAGTCGATGTATTGGTGACTTTCTTCTGCTTAAATATTCGTATCGCCACCTTAACTATTTCCAATGGATATAAACTCAGGAACGCTTCTTCGCTTGTCACTTGCAACTACTTGTTATTTTTTTCTTTCCGCCACTCGATCGTCCATCACTCTCTTCTTCTTCTCTTTATAGCTCGAAACTGCGTGTGTACGCGAAATCTTCATGGATGTTAATATTTCTTTGAGATATTTCATTTGCCCTGACTAAATAAAATAGTTATCATTTCCTTACGAAGATCGCAATGCTTTAAAATGATTTTTCCTTTCTCCCGAGATGTGCTTGAAACACACTCTACAAGATGCATCATGGCAATTGTTGTCATTAAAAGATGATCAAATGTTTTCACTTTGCTTTCAGCTTTTACAATGAAGCCTTCCAAGTATCTACTTTTAAAGCTGTTGTTCCGCGAGAAAGCGCCATTTACTTCGTCAGAGGATTGACTATTTCATATTCAAATGTTATATAAGCACTTATTTTTCGCATCGAAAGAGTTGGGATCTATGTCTGTTTGTATACTAGCCGCTAGAGTCCTGCTCAAGGACGTGGCAATTACACCTAAACTTTGACGAGCGCAAATTAACAAAAAAGCGAAAATTAAATATAAAAGTGAATGATGATGGACTCTGAAGTAAAGTTATGTAGCATTGTCAATAATATTAGACGTCTGTTTCATAAAAGAAAATTCGATTACCTGGAGAAGGTAGAGATAGGTTTATCCAAATGGTCCATTGCTTATTATCTATTTTCAATATCAGAAAGAAACTTTTATTACCCATTAAGTAAATCAAAGAAATGATGTTAGAAAATAATTGAAACACATAATACGTAGTTGGAAAAGTTCAAACATATCCGGCTGAGTGGTCGAATATGCAAAGTATCTCGACTAAAAACCCAACGATCACATCTGAAGAGGGTAAAGGTTTCAATAAAGTCAATAGCCTTAGATGCTAATGCGTTAAGGTTCTCGTCTACGAATCTATTTCTCTGAGTAAACGTAATAATAATGACAATAACAATGAAAATGATAATGATAATAATAAATTTAAAATTGGAATAAACGACCAGTAATACAAAATGAAAAGAAAGCACGAAAGAATGGAAAAGTCTGATTTAACACGCGTGCATGGCTGCTAACTAACAGTGCCACTGCTATTATATATAACAGATTCATCAAGAGTCCCTACGACAATCGATGTCTTTTATTTCGAAATATTTCTGGGACGCTCTTCTCATTTAGCTCCCTCGGCTTGTATTTTTTATACTGTATCTGTATCAAGTTTTAGATAACATGAAACCATAGTTTTTTGTTTATCGTGGACGGGTGTAACCCATTTTCAAGCTTAATTCTTACGTACATTTATCTACAAAGAGTCTATACACCAAGCCTCAACTTTCTATCTCCATTTTAGCGAAGATGGGAAGATCGCAGATCGCACATGTCAGAGAGTTCAAGTCTATTTAAAACCTTACATTAACCAAAATTTAAATGCGATCACTTACAAGTAGCGAAAGCCATTTGTATAAAGAGAAGGACAAATCAAGCCCACATTGAAGTAGTATTTATGTAAAAAGCACATGAATTTTTTCCAGCAATCTGGCAGCGTCTAAAAAATGATGAACTTATTTTAAAATTGTTGGCATAACTTAAGGCAGTCTTTCATTTCAGCACAAAACTCCTTTCTTCGTTCGACTTTTCTTAAGCCCTGCTATCAAATAAACACAATTACTGTAGATTTTTTTCATGTCTTCTTTCCACAGAATTAATCATACAAACATTTGAGGGGAACAAAAGTGTTTATAAAAATTAACCTTTGCAAGACAAACGTTCCTCAGGGCATAGGTGAATGCTACCAACGAACTCAAAATCGCTTCAACATAATTATCGTATGTAAACAAGTAAGACTAACCGTAAGATATGAAATTTATTGAAATTACGTAAGGAAACTATAATATATATATAATGTGTAACTCACTCGAATGGCTTAATAAATGCTTTTACTGAGGTTAGAACAATTACTCATAATTTGTTACTGGAAACGCTTCATTTTAATTCGATGAATAATTTTATATTTCCCCCTTTCCAATAACACAATCTTTAAAATGTTAAGAAAAAAAAAAAAAAAAGTCGAGAAATATTTGATTTTATTCTTAGCCGCTTTCTCCTTGTTAAAGATGCAGCAGAAAATTACATTGGCATAGCAAAGGCATGCACTGTTTATTTATATATGGAGTGAAGGGAAGCATTTGAATGTTACATCCTTTAGGCGATCATATTGTAATGGCTTTCGTCGGTCTATTTCCATATGCTTGCACACTAACTGAAGTGCAGAACAACTAAATATGAGCTAAGGACCTATTCTAAGCAACATACGTACATTTTATGGAATATAGTATAAGATGTGCTCTTCAGAAAAACCTAAAGTATAACCAAAGCAAACGAAATCGTTTTGCTGAAGCATCTATATTTAATCTGCGACGCTAACAATAATAGGGACGCGACATATATACCAGGTCTCCTCGCTTATACTAGACTGTACCGGTTATTCATCAAAAATTCTGTTCGTGAAATCTGAGAGAAGAACTGCGCAAACAAGGTGGGCACCTTGATAGTGGCGAAGGGAGAATTTTAATTTTGTACAAATTCGTAGTGTAATGAGAATAACTCTTTATTCATTTTTAATCAGATCGTTAAATAGAATGAGATATAAATTCCGATTTTTGCTTAAAAACTTTTTTAAAAGGCTTTCGATCAAATTCCTTTCTCTCTTTCCAAAAAAATTCTTCTGTCTTTTTAAGCTGAGCAGCCGTCTTGAATATATTATTGGGATAATTAAATTAGAGAAAATAACACATTAGTAAACTGTAATCTTCGCTTTGAAATGCTTTTTTCTTTTTTTTTTAATAAGAACGTAGTACAAAGTTAATTTATTCATTTTTTGTTTTTATAGTTCAGTACAAATAACAAATTATTTATTGCGGTAACTTAATAAGCATTTAAAACAGAATTTCATTTGCAAGAAATTTTTTTCAATCGTAATAAATTTTATATATATATATATATGTATAGAAAACACTATAAGCTAAATATTGAAATTGAGTGCAAATAATTATTAAATTATTTTAAAATTATTAATAAATCCAAATTAAATGATTTTTGTTTCATCCTTTATTTATACAGACTAGAAAACTAAAAACAAATTTTAAAATACATTTAAAACGATTTATATATCATAAGGTTTCTATCTATCGGTTCGTTAATAATATATAGCTTAGAAATAAAATTAATTGATACATAATTATTTACAATTTATATTCACGTGTTTTAAGCACCGATAATATTTTTTTTGGAAAATTTATTTAGCACTCATTAACTGAAATCAAGGGAAAAGATAATACTGGTGCGAGCACTTGACGAAAATGAAAATGAAATATTAGAGAAGGTAATGGTTTAATTAAAAGGGAATTGAGATAAGGGCTAAAAAAGCTAATGTCATATTTCACATTCAAACTCGGATATGCGGTGATTAAAATACACCATACCATGCTCGAGATCCTCACTGAAGCCGCTAACATCCATATAATCGGAATTTGAAGCGGTATCATCGTCAACCCATTTATGCAGGGAACGTGTTATCTCTAATCGAGCCTGGCTAAAACTGGGACGCATTTGTGGATCCTTATGCCAGCATCGAGACATTAAATTGTAAAATTCATGACGACCCTCTTTTGGTAAATCTGGCCTTAAGCCCTGTGGAACACGTCGTATAATCTCGCGACCAGTCAAATGGGAGTAGGGAGTTGAACCTATGAAAAAAATTATACCCAAAAATTAAAACTCATTTGGTATTACATGCACATTTGTTGCACTCATCGTAAAATGCAATTTGTCCCCTTTTTTTATTTCTTTCCATACCTAAGGTAGCAATCTCCCAGAGCACTATGCCAAACGCCCAAATATCAGTTTCCCGTGTAAATAGATGATATTGTAAAGCTTCTGGGGCCATCCATCGTATGGGCAATGCGGGTCTTCTGCCGATAGTATCGTGGCCGTGGCCGTGACCTTGGCCTTTTTTTACGTCGGAGATGTTGCCCTCCTTTTGAGGATTCGGTGGCCAATGATTCATAATGAATTTACCACCAAAATCAAATTTGAATTTGTTAAAATTGCTTCGCATTATCTCGTTAGCGCAATTCTTCTCAAGCTCTTTACGTTTTCGTTCGGCATCCAAATCGATGGACATGCCAAAGTCGCATATCTTACAAACACCGTTATGATCCAGCAAAACATTGCGTGCTGCAAGATCACGATGAACAATCTAAAAAGGAAAAAAGCAGCAAAGGATAGGAAGATAGAATTGTAAGCTAAAACAAATGATAAAAGCAAAAATGCTTTACTCTTTTCTCAGCTATGTACTCCATACCGCAGGCAATATCTAAACAAAATCCAGCCAATGTCCGAGGTGACAATGGCGTTTGACTTCGGCCTCCCGGAACGGAAGCTGGCAAAATGTTGGTGGCATTTCGTGCCGCTCGCAATAAAGATAACAAACGGCCACGCATAGCATATTCCATGATCAACATATGAGGCTCTAAAATACGATAAAATTTTTATATTAAAATTATAATTAAATTTTGTAACTAATTAAATTTAAATCCTACCGGTTTCTACGCAGGCTCCAAGCAATGTCACTACATTTGGATGCGAACCCAATTTTCGCATAATATTCGCTTCGTCCTTCAAGCTCACTTGAGTACTGCAAGCTCTTATAGTTTTAACGGCAACAATTCTGGTAGCTCCAAAATGTCCACTTAAATCATCGGCCTCGGCTTTCCACACTTGGCCAAAATTTCCTTCGCCCAACAAACTTTTCAACCGTATATTCGAGCGATCGAACTCTTGATCACTGGTAATCGAGCTCTTATCATCATTGTAATGTCGTTGATGAATCATGTTAGGATTATGATTCTTATTGTCTCTGGATGGTAGTTTATGAACTTGACTGTGCTGCCTTTGAGGCAATTTACGATGGTCGACTTCGTCTTCATTCTTATCATCGTTAATGTGGTATTTAGAGTCCAACCTCTTAACTGGACTAATGGGCTGCTGATCGGTAATGCAGACATCAAAATCCTCATCATCCTTTAGAGGACGTTTCAGTATGTAATTACGCACCAAATAAAGTATAACAGCGATGAGAGGAATGATGCCTATACCGGCCAATACCATAGTAACAATATTCATTCGTTGCATTTCGGCAGATATTTCTTGATCGTTGGTTACAACCGTAGAACTTATCTCACCGGTGACTTCTTGGGGAGTGGAGGTAATCCAAGATTCTGTAACAGTAGCGACATTGTTGACCATACCGAACGGTCTATAAAAGTGATTTATGGGATTTTCGGTAGATTTGATAAACTGTTCCTCGGTTCTTGGATTTACAGTGGAACGTACCGATGTCAAAATAGTAGTACGTAGAACAGTAGGCGAAGAATCAGTGGTTATTGCATCGAATGCCATCGCCTCTTGCGATTTAAAAGTAGTACTTGTACTAGACAGAGGTATATAGACGCCGGAAGTACGATTTACAAAGATTATTAAATTGGTTTTATCGTCAGTGTTAATGGACTCAGTTAAACTTGGACCGAGAGCTCGTAATAGCTCGGTATCCTCTTCAATTATACTCGCCTTTTTAGTCGTAGGAGAGCTTCCAAAGAGTGGTTGAGTCGACAGAGTGGAATCAGCAATAGTATTTGATACAGTAGAAGCCGTAGTATGTTGCGGTGATTTTGTTGTTATCGTCGTTGTGGTCGCCGTTGTTAAGGCTCTTGTGACTGCGGTGGTTGCTGTGGTTGCTGCGGTTGCTGCGGGTATTGACGCTGCTGTACTTGTTGTTATTGTGCTAGCTGCTCTACTCATTGTAACAGAGGGGATCGTCGAAGTTGGCGAAGCGTTGCTGATGTTAAAACCAGCAGTTAAAGGTAAAGTGGATATTTTGGCTTCATATAGGTTATTGCTGGTAAATGGAGGCACCGTAATCAGTTCTTCATCTCCCAAGACTGTAATTATTAAAGGAGTGGAGGATGGCCGTAGTAATTTATTTATTCCTGTTGTTGTCTTTGCCGTTGTTGGTGCTGCTGTTGTTTTTGTTGTATTTTCATTTTTCATTGTAATTGGCTCTAAAGTTACATTTGAGAATACCGTTGGGGTGGTATGCCTTATAGTTTCCTTTAGATTTGAAGCGTTATTGGGTCTTGATTCAGCCGTCGGTGTTCTTGCTATCGTATTATAGCGGCGATTAAAACTTACAGCCCCTCTCATGTTATATTTGAATCTAGCCCGACTTCTTTCCACTGCCGACAAAGTTGAGGTAGATGGTACGTTTACCGGAGTTGTAGTAACAGTAGTAGGTAGCTGTGGCAATTCCTTCGCCACCGACACTTCCAGCAATTTAGGATGTTCATCACTAACGGAGGTAATGGTCAAAGCGTTGGGCTTAAGAGGAGGTAATTTTTGACCAAAATACAAATATGGCTGTATTTCATCATCTTCAATGGAGGTCGTAGCCAGAGTAACTGCATTCATCGTCGATTTACGACGATTACCGCGTGATTTAATGCCACTGCCGCTCTTTTTCTCATCGGGTATATGATTCAAAGTGTCGTTCTGTTCTTTGGCTATCACTAAAACACCATGGGAAGACTCATCTGTGAACAAGATCTCGTTGGTATCTTTCTCATTTTGTTGATTGTTGGGAGAGCTAAGTTTTAAAGTCTTCATGGATGTATTGCTGATAGCAAACGTAGAATTACCGACTCTCGAAAAGTTTGCACATTGGCGCATACAACTAGCGGTAGTTCGGCGTGTAAAGTTTTTTGTACAATTACGTATACAAACTGATCGAGGATCAGTGGGTGTACGTGAAGTCGTTTCTACAGCCGTTGCAGTACGACTTGTGGTTATAACTCGCGATCTAACACCAGTACGATGTAAAGCACTACGTCTAGCAGCCAGAACATTCATTAAACGACGCTCACGTTCTTGAGCCGAATTATGTGGCGCCAAAGAAGGTCTCGTAGGCCTTGTAGTGGTGGAGGTAGGGTTAGCAGAATGCTCGTAACCATCTAAAACGGCAAACGAATGATACAACTAAGATAATCTGAAGCATTCTTTTTAAAAGTACTCTAAAAAAAAGCCTAAACAATAATAGTTTAATAATTTTTAAGTTAATACCTCCACAGTATGAGAGGCATCTTCAATCTGTCGGCCTCCTTATAACATAGCATTTATATATAAAAACATTTAGTAAACTATCAAGCAATACTACGCTTTTTCCAAATACGCAGCATCTCAATAAGTTGGTCTCACTAAAGAACTCAACAACACCAATACGTTTTACAAAAAAACCCAAAATTATTAAATGAACGGCAAAAATCATGATTATGCCCTTGCTTGCGGTATAGGGTATATTAAGGTTGTGCGGACACACGTAACACCCAAAAGGGCTTAAGATATACCCCCCTTTTGTTAAACCGATCGATTCAGATTCGTTTTCCGAATCAATTTAAGCTTGTCTTTCCATCTGTCCGTCTTATGTCTGCTCATTTATTTTATTTTTAACTTGCCGGTCGAAATTTTAAAGATATTTTGATGACATTCGATAAACCGACGAGTCCCACTGAAAATGATCTGGATTGATCCATGTTTTCAACCACTCCCCCATATTTTGAAAAGCCGTTATAAGCAATATATAAAATTTGTCCATGAATTCGTTGAGTAACAATATATCGACACTGTAAACTGTTCAGAAAAATTTAGTTCGGTCAGGGCAATTTGTTCAACCCCGCCTTAAGAAAACTTAATTTTTGTATGGTAAAAATATTTAATCTCTAATATTTCATGGTAACAATTAGTCAATAATAGTAAATTGAGCTAGAAATCAACCTTACCGAATTTGGACTGCTCAGATCTATTTTTCAGGCATTACCGCATATTAGGGTTCTCAGGAAATGTAAACCTTTTTATACTAAAAAGGCTTAACTGTTAATATTTTATGATGAAAGTTTTCTCGTGATAGTAGTTTGACATAAAAATTGAGTCGATCAAATTTGAACCACATGGATCTATTTCTTAGATCCCACTTCATGTAATAGTAACCCCTTGTGAAAATTATTTAATTTTTATTATCTTATGTGAAAAATTGGTTCATAATAGCAATGTAGCAAAAAAATTAACGGTAGGAAGCTCGCATCCGCTTGGTCTATTTTTTAGACTTTAGCAAATAGAAATATAATGAAATTTTTGGGAAGTGAATTATGTTTGCAAAATTTGGACCGCGTCATGTGATGTTTCGGCAATCCTCGAATATGCCGGGTGAATAGCTGTATTAGGTAAACTGATGTAAGATATCTAACAGTTGACTCGGACTCAGCTTAGTGAAGAAGAAAATAAAATTTTTTATCGGAACATGGCACCGCCTTCCTCAAGCATTCTTATATTGCTTAGATTGAAAAAGTTATATTAAAAAGTATTTGAGTATCTAATATATTCATCGGATCTAGATTGCTTTGACTTTCTGAAGTTATATAATAGTCGCGAAACGTCTTTGATACTTACTAGTATTTTCGGGATTTTAAACAAAAAAGTAGACTATCTCGAAAATGAGATAAATGAATTCGAAAAAGACTATAAAAAAAGGGAGAAAATTTAAGATACATATCGATAGCAATAGGCGCTAGCCTATGTTTCGATCATTTTTTCAAATGAGAAAATTTGATACAATATGTATTAACCAAACTATCTTCCATCATTCTCTACCACTTTTTCTGGCAACGTGACGATGCCGTGTAGAAAGATCCATGTTGGTCTGGCAACGATGCAATCATCGACCCATTTTCGAAGTCTCTCAGCATTTCGTAATCGCGTGCCAACCAAGACGTTCTGCATCGATCCAAACACGGGGTAATCAAAGAGCGCCACGTCGCGTAAGTACGCTGGCCGTGACATAACTTCCCATTCAAGGTGCAACAGACCTTGACAACTCTTGCAACGAGAGAAATAAGTTTACATTGTCGTGCGGCTTCACTACGGAATTTTTAAGTCAAAAAATAGCAAACGATTCGGCGACCCTTACAAAGACAAAAAAAATTCATCAACCATCGGAATACTTTCAGCCAAATAGTCGCTTTTATCGAAAAAAAGAAAAATTTTCAAGCTGCAGGGAATCCAGATGATCATCGGTATGCAATTACTTGTAGCCGCTCAAGGATAAGCAGGGTTGTAAACAAAGAAGAGGAGCGATTTCGCATCGTGCTTTTGGTATGATGCCTTCACACCTGTCGTCTCAAGGAGTTTGTTATGTATTAAGAAGCATTCAAAACATCAAGTTAGCGGAGCATTTACAGTACAGCCACGATTTGCATCATAATAATTAATTTTTCTCTTTATATGTAACGAACAAATCAATAACACAATCATTTTCAATGTCGAAAGAAGCGGTTGGTACATCCTAAACCCATTTTTTAAAATCAATTGATTATAACTTGGTTCCGGATTTTCAAAAGTATATCGTTTATCATAGAAAAATGCTTAAGCCTAAATAATTCTTCTTTGTAAGTATGATTTTTGAAATCAATCACGCATTAGGCCCAAACATTTACGTCCTTCTAATTGCATAAATTTTGTGAGCTTCCAAAAGAGCTTTGAATAAAAGACGTGTCGAAAAAACAACTTTTTTCTTCTTCTTCTTCTTCGCCCTCTTCTTTTGTATTTTTTTTTTTTTTTTTAATTTTTTTTCATCTATTATTAGCTATAATTTTCAAAACAATAAAAAAAATATACAGAAAAACATAAATTAAAAAATTCCAATGCTGTCATATGAAACAACTGAACACACAAGCAAATATGAATTTGAACCATGAGCTGGAATATGCACATAACTGCTAGTAAACGAGCGAAACAAAACAAAAAAAAAAAAAAAGAATTTTAAACCAATAACAACAATAACAATAACAACAACTGCAACGAACAGCCGACATAACTCCACACAATAAATTATTAAACAATAAATTCCAATAAAAGCAATATTTAACATAATGCTAAAGTGTTTGTACGAATTGTTGGTTGCTTTAGCAGTTGTTAGTGTAAATGCGATATTCAACCTATGAATTCGTCTTATTTGTCAAACGTATAACAACAGAAATAATACAAAGAAGAGTTGAAACGAAAACAAAAAAAAAAAAAACAAAAAAAAAAAACAAAAACCAAAAATAAAACCAAGTCCAAGTTTTTCATTGAATCTTTTTGCTTTGCTTTAGCGAGACGTGACAAGACGCCCAAGTAGCAAAGCTTAACACCACAGTTTTGATTGATATTAAATGCAAATTATTGCTAGTGGTGCTTGTGATCGTAGTGGTAAAGCAATTGTTTCTGTTGTTGAAAATGCCATTCGTTTTGTTTGTAATGAATTTTATTATAATCTTATGCTGATTCTTTGTTTGGCAATTGCAATACCTATACGCGTGGACATATACACATACATATGCATATATATATATATATATATATATATATATATATATATATATATATGTACATGTGTGGGTGTTTTTTTTTTTTGTTTGTTTGTTTTTGCCTCCCAAAGAGTTCTCAACTCTTCGATGTGTTCTCCTTAAAGCTTAATACAGCTGTTAAATGCCTTTCAGCATATACCTTATGATTATATTTGAGATCTATGAGTTGACAAACTGATAACTGTTAGGTCGTCATTATCATCAACGGCATGCAACAGCACGGAGCCAACGTTCTTTAATGCCTTTAAACTTTGCCAATCTTATTAATTTTATTGTTCTATTGGTCGAGTGTTTCGGATGTCTGCCGCCATTATGTCCAAAGGGCAGGAGAATTTTATAACAATGAATTCTTCCCATCCGCTAGTGTCTCTGTGGTTGTCTGCTAAAATTTTAATTTCTTACTTTTTTTGCCTTTTTTTCATTTGTTTTTCTTTCTTAAATACAAAAGTTCTCTTCACATTAAAGACATGAAAAATTCCAATAGTTATAACAGTTCTTCTAGACTGTCTTCATCGTTCGTATTGTCGTTTGCCTTTTACAACCTTGGCGCAAACACAAAGGTATCATAACTGTTTTATACGATATAAATATATGAAATATATGATATAACAATGATTTCATTTACAGAGAAGAAGAATTAAGGCCAAAGTTTAATTCTTTTTAAAATTTATTAATAAAATATGCAGAAAACTATCAAATTAATTATTATTCACTATTACTTTAATTTTGTGCAAACGTGGGAGTGTATTACATAAACAGTTTCTTTATTTTCTTTTTTTATTCGCTTGAAATTTCGCTGACCTTTTCACTACTCCCTCTCTCTCTCTCTCTCTTATGAACGTTATCGCCAATGCTTATAACATTTTTCTTTGCAATGAAAACGTGCAAAACTTTCCCTTTAAAGTAAAAGCCAGTTTATATTTTTAACAAACAAAACAAAAAGAAAAATATGCAATAAAGTATTTGTCACGTGAATTTTTTTGCGCTTGTAGATCAGTAGGGAGAAAAGGTAAGAAATTATACAAAACCAACTTTTCGAATAACTATTCGCTTTAGTTCCCCAAAATTTGTCAACATCGCTGACGATCATTGATAATTAATTAACTAAATTACGCGAATAGCCAAAGGCGAAAAAGAAAAACTAATTGAAAAAACAGTCAGGACTTATCAGCAAAATCGGCTCGAAATTTCTAATAACCTTCTCTTTCTTGCATTTATACCGACACAGCTCAATAAAATTTAAACAATTTTCGAATCAATATATACCTCGCCCTACGAATCATACATGAATTAGCGGGGCCACACTAACCTTTCGGCTTTGACATTTTATGCAAAATAAAACATATATATAGAATATTTTCGTTGAAGGGTTTTTATTTTCTTTTCCCATGTACTCACTTTCTCGGTGTCAAACTGTAGCGCGTTATGCAGATATTACAGATATTTCAACAATTTCGAATCGAGAAATCGCTTAAATCATTCCGAGAGTTAGACGAACCTAAAGCTTTATTTAACCCCATATATTGCCCAATAGTTTAAAATTCTGAGTTTCC